CCAGAATACACTAAAAATACCCTGGCAACCACCCGAACACCTGGCAATGCCCTAGCAACCACCCAGAATACCCTAGTAACACCCTGGCAACCACCCAAACACCTACCAACCACCCTGAAAACCCTAGAAACATTCTGACTACAACACAAATACCCAGCAACACCCTAGCAACCACCCATGATAACCTAGAAACACCCTGGTAACCATGTTAACACATAGCAATGTACTAGGGATGTCAACGATTAATCGATTATCGATTAATTGTCTATAAGAGATGCAATCGATTAAAGCTATCGATGGTCGATTAAGTCGTTTAATTTTGGTCTGCGTGCGGCTCATGCGCAAAACACGTGCGAGCGGCTGTGAGTGACGGTGACGGTATATAAATGCATCATCATTCATTCATAATGTACAAATAAAGCTTTTAAATCTCAAACGAGCTCTCTTCATTTTATCAAATGATCATAATCACATCTATTCATTTTACAATCCTGCTACTAGCATTTTATTCAGACTAAATCCCCTTTAAATCGGGTGAGAAAGCGGGGGGTTTTTTGAGTAACTTTTGCACATCCTGTCATGCCGGGCTGCATAGACGCATTTTGCAGCAGTAAGGTTAACGATTAATCGATTAATTGATCGTTAATTTAAACGACGATCGATCATGGAAATGATCAAAAATTGACATCCCTACCTACAACCACCCAGAATACCCTAGTAACACTCTGGCAACCACCCAAACAATGCCTTAGCAACCACCCAAAATACCCTAGAAATGCCCTGGCAACTACCCAAACGCCCTAGCAACCACCTAGAATTCCATAAAAATGGCTAGCATTATGGCATTGATTTTTGTACAGTAAACGACACTTACATTTTCATGAGAAAATACAAAAATCTAGTTGCAATTTCGGTTTTACTCTCCACTACTGGGTGACATTCAGAAATATTCATATTTACTTCAGTTTTACTTAAATTATGAAAATGATCTTTAATAGTTTTATTTGCAGTTAACAACAACAACACTGGTTTCATTTCATTTTTCTGCATGCGCTTATAGAGGTGAACTCAAGTTGCTTTTAATAAAAAAAAATGTAATTAAATTAATACAGTCATTATTTTGCTGTAATCAACTACAAAACCACACACGGATCCATAGAAGCATTACGAGCCAGGTCAAAGTGAAACACATGCCTGCCTGTCATATTGTTGGTGGCTCATTTCCTGCACCTGTGAATTTAACAGCACTTACTCACTCACTCAAACTCACTTACACGTTCTTTTTCTCTTTCTCGCTCCGTTTTGCGTCCCACACAGTGTCTTTGTGCTGAACTTCAAAGCTCAGTGTTTGCGCTGAGAGCGAAAGGACAGAGTTTGTTACTGTGGCTCCTGCCTGCGCAATGACCCCAAGCGAGGGCCAGTTAGGGGCCCCTGTCTCCCTCTCTCTAATCTATCCCTCGGAGCGCTGTAAGGCCTCTTTGTTTGCGCTCTCCGGCTCAGGATGGAGACAGACTTTATGCTCAACATGGGCTATCAGGTTCAGCCCCACGGCGATCTGCTGCCTGGCCAGACGAGAGGAGAGGAGGGGTGAAGGAGGAAGAAGAAACACCCACAGCCGCCCCACCACCAGCGCTACCTGATTTCAGTCACATACACGCTCTGACGGGGCGTTTCAGGGTAACCCATAGGACAGAAACATCACAGTAGTTCACCCAAAAATGAAGAAATCCTCATGTCGATCTAAAACCGTACAACTTTCTTTCTTCTATGACACATAAAAAGAGAAGTCATGAAGAATATTATAGTGACGAGATGCTACAAACTTCAAAAAGGACAAAACTTCCATTAAAGTATCATCACACTATCATGAATGACCCCAGTAATCTCACACGTGTTGCATAGTTTCACAAGAGATCTCAACAATGTGCTCAGATTTGTCAAGACACCAAACTCATCAAATTCTACCATATCAAATGCACATAACATGATGTATTTCTGCGTAAAACAGAATATTCAGTAAGATAAAATTGGCAGGATCTAATTTACTGAAACATTAAGATGACAAACATGTACTCATAATTTCTCACCAAATTCTCCCAGGATTAAATGCACTCTATAATCTAACTATATGGCACCTACTGATTCATTTGTGTATGCTTTTTAGGCATTTTAGGACAAACAACAGACAAACTTAAATAAAACATAACTTAGTAACATTGAATTACAATTATAGCTAGTTTTTATAAATGTTTTAAATATTTTTTAATTAGTTTAAATTTGTATTTAATTTTAATTAATTTTAATTAAATTACTTTTTTGTAATTTTATAGTGTTTTATTCATATTTTATATTTTTCTGTTTATATTTAATTTTAATTACATTTTAATTTTAATTTAATTGTAATTTTATTGTGTGTTTTGTCAATTTTATTAGTTTTAATAATTAATTATTTAATGAATTAAACTAAATGAAAATGAGAAATGTTTCCTTTGCAACATAAATGTAACTTCTTTTATATTTTATTTCAAGTAAAGAATTTTTTTTCTCTCTTATTTCTCTTTTTTTTTTATTTTTTTTTTCTCATCTCTCTCATTGCTCCCTCTCAGTCTGGTGGCCGTTTCCAGACACTGAGAGGCTTTTGTTTGGGATTAACGTGGCAGAGCAGAGTCCGGATACTCCGACAATCAGAGAACCGTGAGTGAAGCGGTGCAACTCACACTGAGCTCGCGCCCCACGGCACATTCGTGCGCAGATGAATTCTCTGCCGAGCCCCAGAGTGAAACTCAGAGAAGGCCGGAATGCAGCGGCGCTGCCGTAGCCCGCAGCCACTCCGTGACCCCCTTAGAAAAGTCACATTCACTTTGCTCTGGAGAAAGCAGTGAAAACGCCCCAGGGCGACACGCAGCCCCAGCCGAAATGAAGAAATAAGGGGAGGTGAAAATAAAGTGAAAATAAGTTAAGATTCCTCCCTCTGTCTATCCTGCCTTTCTCTTCTCTTGTGAACATGAGAGGTGGTCAGATGGGCAGAAAAACACCCAACCATTAAAAAACAGAAACACACAAAACAGCCAAGACCCTTAGCCAAAAGTACCATGGCACTGGTATCAGATGGTACTTAGATATACACTATGGTACTGAATAATTATTAAATTCAAAACGCCCTTAAGCTGTGACTACATTCACAATATACACTACTATTCAAAAGTTTAGGGTCAATAACATTTAAAAAAATAATAATAATTCAGCAAAGACATTAAATTGCTCAAAAGTGACAGTAAAGACATTTATAATGTTACAAATTATTTCTATTTCAAATAAATGCTGTTCTTTTGAACTTTCTATTCATCAAAGAATCCTGAAAAATACAACTTATGATGATTTCCACAAAAATATTCATCAGCGCAACTGTTTTCAACATTGATAATAATCAGAAATGTTTCTTGAGCAGCAAATCAGCATATTAGAATGATTTCTGAAGATCATGTGACACTGAAGACTGGAGTAATGATGCTGAAAATTCAGCTTTGATCACAGAAATAAATTACATTTTAACTGATATTCACATAGAAAACATTTGTAATAATATTTCACTGTTTTTACTGTATTTTTGACCAAACAAATGCAGCTTTGCTGAGCAGAAGAGACGTTTTCATTAATGTCAAAGTAAAACATTCTGACCATCATGATTCACAAATGGTGTTTAATCTGATGCTAGTTTCATTAGGATCATAAAAATTTCAGCCACAGTTCTGCCACATTACAGATTCACCTTCAAGATATAGGTGTATTTATACTTTAGGTGTATTTATACTGAAAAGTCTTTTTATCTGGTCATCTAACACAATGTTGCTTCTCAAGTATGTTTAGAAATTTTAATTAGAACACGAGACAAAAATTATGATTTTTGAAGTGATTTTTTTAGCATATTACCAATTTGCTGCACCAATGATGAATTAGATGTTGCATTAATACAAAAAAAGGCAAGCACTTATGAAATCAATTATTCTGGTTTTCATACGAGTCATTATTTGATGACTGCAGAGATCTACATTTTTAATTTGACATTGAACACTTTGTCTACAAAAGAGCGATTTTAATGCTGTAAACCAACAAACCCCATAAAAGCAGGGTATCTGTGTGTGTACATACACATTTCATGCTTCTTGTTGACAGTTACAATAAAGTGAAGGAGGTGAGGATGGTGTTCACGGAGCAGAAGTAATGCATTTATTTAGTTAGCCTGCTTTCACTGAGGTTGTGTTCACTGAAGGATTTGACCAAACACACACACACACGTCAACAAGCAGGTTTTTTAAATGACCAGCTGACATTCACAAAGTGCTTTTTTCCGGTTTATGGTATTCAAACATTAGTCAGAATCCGTCAGGGAATATGAAGAGGCCTTCTGATGGCAAGAGCAAAGCTAAACATTCACCAGATGCAGCTAAACCCAATGACTTCATGTACAACAGCATGTCGAGGAAATCTAATAGTGGCGTTTCTTCATGTCTCCAGTGTGCGTGGCGTAATCCTGTGTAATGCAGAGCAGAGCTGGTAGCCATATGTGAAGCGGCACTGTGACCTGCATCGAAACAACACTGTAACACGCTCACAGAGGACAGACGTGCAGTGCGTCCCGTTCACTGCTGTGGGAAACTGGACAAACACTGCAGGGGAAAACCCTCTGCCATTTATTTTTGCTCTGGAAAAAAGACTTACACTCGCTCACAACGCAACAAACAAGCATCAAACCCTGCATCGACACCCGAGAGTATGACGTAAAATATCAAACACTCTCCATAATATCCAGTAAGGCTATTATTTTTTTTCCTCGAACTGATTTTTTTCAGATTCTTTTCTATATATCATCTAATATATATCAACCAGTGCTTAATATCCATGCTTTAAAATAAGGGATCAAATCAAATAATACAATTTCATATCTCAGCTTGCAACCGCTCGCACTCATGTAATATGGTTCGGTGTAGTGAGGGTCGTACCTCAGTGCCTGTCGTTGTAGCTCCTGGCGAGTCCACTTTACGTTTTTTCCGAGGGCCGATGGCGGCGAGTGCCGTCAGGTTGGCCTCTCGTTGTCTCATTTGGGCGAGTTCCTGCTGCTGCATCTGAAAACAGAAAAAAACATCATATTACAGACCAGGACATATGACAAATTGCGTCCAGTCATGATGAATTCAAAAGGTAATGCCACATCGCCCAGGCTCTGAAAATATCAGAGAAATGGATATTGTGGATAATCCTGTCAAGAAAATAGGACCCAGCTAGAAAAAAGGACCCATTTCTCATCAAAGCGTCTGCTAAATGACTAAATGTAAATGTAAATGTAAAAAGCTTGCGTTTCTATAATCAAACACAAATCGACAATAAAACTGAGAAAGATTGTATCATAAATTGTCCTTCTTGAGCTGAAATCACACTAAAGAAACAGTATTTTTAGTTTAGTTCAGCTAATGTGCATTCTAAAGTCTTGTGATGCTTAAGGTGATTGGCTGGTTTAATTTAAAGGCGGGGCTTTCTGTCCTACAATCACCATATTAAGCATTGCAATTTCTTTCATTTATTTCAGGCCTGCCTTCTTCTTTCTCATACTGCCATAGCACTCAAACGTTTGTGTTCAGTAAGCAGCACAACTGTTTTCAACATAATAATCAGAAATGTTTCTTGAGCAGCAAATCAGCATATTAGAATGATTTCTGAAGATCATGTGACACTGAAGACTGGAGTAATGATGCTGAAAATTCAGCTTTGATCACAGGAATAAATTACAATTTAGCAGATATTCACATAGAAAACAGTTATTCTAAATTGTGATAATATTTTAAAATATGACTGTTTTTACAGCATTTTTGATCAAATAAATCCAGCCTTAGTGAGCAGAAGAGACTTGTTTCAAAACATTTTTAAAAAATCTGAACTATTGAATGGTAGTGCAATTCTACAGTACTTCTAATGAATTTTCCGCATGTATGCATGAAATACCTGGATGACCTACAATATTTGCCTTATGTGATGTGTATGTGATGTCAGTATTCTATCCCACAGTGCACTGCAGTCAACTTGAAAAACAAAACCTGTGAAAAATGCCAAACCAGAAGCAACATTAGCCATTGCATTCTTGCCTCATTATTTGATCAGACTGACAAACTTGCATTAAAAAATGACCATGTATATAATAGCTAGATGACACTATCTGAATGCATAAACATGCATCCTAACAAGGTTATGTGGCAACAATACAGCAGAAACATTAAGACATTGTATAATGTGCATTATTACACACAAAAATAGGCTGCACATGCAATAAGCCTGGAGATTCTGTCATAATACAGATTCACCTTCCAGATAAAGGTGTGTTTGTATGATAATTAAACCCCTAAACAAATTAATCATGAATTTTGAGTCTATTTTTAGAGTGAATTAACTTTATATACTAGGTGAAAACAAGTCTTGTTATCTTTTCATCTTACACAGTGCTGCTTCTCAAGTGTGTTTAGAAATTATTACAGGAACACAAGACAAAAATACTGATTTTTTTTTGCAATATTTTATCGATCTGCCACACGAGTCTATTAGACTATTATTACATGCCAAACCAAGCATCTGTCTCAGCTGTGGCATGATGTCACAGGAAGTGACATCATCATCTGCAAAAAAACAAATTGCCAAAATCAAATCAACCCATCAGTGTCTTCTACCTCAAACATCTTTAAAACGTAGTTGGTGTGTTTAGAGACATTTAGGTATGAATATAAATGGGTGTGTGTGTTTGTGTGTGTGTGTCTGTGTGTGTGTGTGTGTGTGTGTGTGTGTGAGTGAGTGTGAGTGTGTGTGTGTGTGTGTGTGTGTGTGTGTGTGTCGGCTCACATGCTCTGATGTGATTTTTCACTTTGTGAAGTGTAAGAGGGCCCAGTGGCGCCTCAGGTAATGTCACGGTTTCCTGCGGGGCAGCCTCGCTCACAGACCCTTTCTGAGGACGTGTTGGAGCCTGAGGCCAGCGCACACACACACAAACGCACAGAGACATACACACAGACATACACAGCCACATATGGCCTCACACACACACACGCGGCCGCCCGCTTCACGCCTGCAGCAACTGCCGGAGTCTCAGATTTATGGCGTTCTGATAAATGTGGGTCCCAGTGTGCCATCTGTGGTGCCAGCTCTCAGAGCCGCCGCCATTACAGACGAATCACCCACATGCACCAGAGAGAACGAGGGGGGGTTATAGCTCAACTATGTGTAGAGTTAGTTAACCGCCGCGCTCATTACAGGGGACAAATTTAGAGAAATATTCATATGAATTATTTTGGCTAACTGCTAGTATATTCTCAGTGCTGCTTCAAAAATAAATGTTTAATAGTTGGCTGATTGTAGAAATGGTAATTGCTCTCAGCGCTAAGTAAAACTTATAGAGTTTTGCATGTCGTAATTATGCTCATCACATAAGAATAATGAAGCGGAGATGCTGACACACAGTATTCACTGCTATCGGTGCAAAGAGATGCTTTCTTAAAACCTCAAGTTACTTATTTCCTTATTTCATCTTGTGTAACCTTTCAGCACAGAACAGCATCAGAAACGATACGATAACCTTTAGCAGCCATTTACACACAAATCAAACCATCCTGTGGATGATCAATATTGTTACGTTTGGTTCTTTCAGACCTGAGAAGAGCGGCTGTTGCTCTTGTACATCAAGATTATTTACAAAGGTCAACACTAGGGCAACGGCAATGCAATCACATGTTAAAGACTGTAAAGCAAAATCACTGCAAATTGAAAATGTGTACAATTCATTGTTTCATAGAGAGTGTCTATCTATCTATCTATCTATCTAGAACACAGATCCACATCTCCAGCTCACGTGTGTGTTTCACTTCACATAAAGCACATGCGGGTGAAGATTTGAGCTGTTTGTCATGATGGCCAAACCTGCCCGTACAGGACCTTCTGTTGTCCCTCCTCTCCCCCCACAGGCCACACACACACTCTCACAGACAGATGTCTGTGCCGGAGCGGAACGGGAAGATCGGGCTGGTTTGGAGTGGGCTTTCACTGGGCAACACTGAGGTTCAGTAACACTGGAGTCTGGAACATAAAGGACCAGCAGGGGCTAAATCTGCCTTCTCATCTTTCTGCCCCAGGACACTGTGCAGTGCTCTGCTCTTCTCTGGAGTGCCAAATTCCTCAAAAAAAAAAAAGTATAATATAATCCAAAAATAATAACATCTTAAATCAATAAGAAAAAAAAAAAATAAATAAATAAATAAGAAAAACAAATTTAATTGAAAAATCATGTTTTAATTGAAGAAAAAAAAATTACAAAAAAATAATCCACAAATAATATCTTAAATCAATAATAAAAATAAAAAATAAAAAACAATGTTTTAATTTAAAAATAATGTTAAATTTAATTTTTTTAACAAAAAATACATGATTTAAATAAAAATGTTTAAAAGATCCACAAATATAGTAACAATTCCAAAAAATATTGACCTCTTAAATTAATAATAAAATAATAATACATAAATAATAATAATAATAATAATAATATAATTAGAATAAAAATTATGATAGTTTGTTTATTATTATTATTATTATTATTATTATATAGTTAAAAAATCATGTTTAATTGGAAAAAATAATTGTTAACATAAAATAATAAATTTTTAAATACAATTTTTTATTTAAAAATGT